TAGGTTATCAGTACTTTACAATACTAGACAGTGTTTCCTTTTATAACAATATCTATGTAATGACTGACTCACAAGTTCTGGAAATGTCTGTAAATATCATAGCAAAAAGTTTGAATTTCTTGTTCTTCTTTCTTCTGCTTCTTTTTCATTACATCATAACTAAAAAAGAAAAACAATGGTGTCAACCAATTTCACTAAGGTGACATAGTTTCAAATGGAGTATCTGCTTTTATAAGTATTATTAATAACTAGTAATTAAAAACAAACAAAACATAACTCTAGTATAAATGGTGTTATCACTACCCCTTGAAGTTGGCTTCCTTACAAAAACTTGGAGTTCCTTTAAAAAGCTTAAGTAAAAGGTGAAACAAGAATTACCAGCCAATAATAGATAAACAATAAGTATTACAGTTGGAACCTTATTGTATTTAAAACTTGGTTATAAATACAAACTTCCTATGTCTATTGAAACACTGCATTAAAAAAAACAAGCAAACAAATAAAGAAAAAACTTTTCAAAAAGGAAGTAAATGTAGGGATGGCATTTGCATCATCTCTAAATAAAGTACAGGTAAGAACTAACATATAGCAATATATATAATTATTCAATCACAATTAAGTTTCAGATATTATATTTTTGTCTGTTAACATTTTACTACACTGTGTCCCTGTTCTGTTATGTAGTGATGATGCAAATGCCATCCCAACTGTCTTGTTTACATTGTTTTTGAGGGATTGATATAAACCATCCCTACATTAACTTCCTTTTTTGAAAAGTGTTTTCTTTACTTGTATTCATTTATATGTCCCATTGTCTTCAATGTCCTGTGAAACTAATGAAATTGTTTAAGTAAATATTTCAACTATTTGGTGGCTTGATATTCAATTTTTGGACTAAGAACTTGGAAAAATATCCAGTATCCAGTTCATGATGATATTATAATATATTTCACTATACAGATTATATTCAAACACTGTTATTTAAGCTTAAAATTACTGATGACTTCATTGGTGTTTTACAATATTTTTTTTCTAATCTATTTCTACACCTAATTGTTACACCTGTTAGTTACAGGAGTTTCAGATGCTTATCTCCACATCTCTATTGCCATATCATTCAGATGGCACCTTCATTTTGTATACAGGAGTTGTATCTATAAGTTCCGTGCATTATCTTTTGGTCTGCATCCTACATTTTCTGTTGGGTGGTCAGATCCTTTCCTTGACTACTTTATGCACAAAGTTTGCACTTTCATCATTACATGGAAGACTGGCTATTATTAGCTCCATCCCAACAAGTCACTCACCAACACCGAATTGCTCCTTTTAGAAGCAACTCATGTGGGATGGCTCATCAAATTGTTGAAGTCCTTCCTTTCCCCAACATAATACCTCGTCCACCTGGGAGTATTTTCAACTTCTTCCTCAGTCAGGTCCAGTCTTCTCCTCTTTGTCTATAGTTGATGGAGCACATGGTATTCAAAGCCTAATCCTCTCGTACATTGTCTCCATGTTAGGTTCTTTCTCTTTTGGTGATGCATCACATGCACACTCATAAGTGGGTGTTGCATGATCAATGGAGCCTTGCTCAGGTTCCCCTAGACTCCATTATCTGTCTCCCTCACTGCAAGTCGATTTTCAGGGTGTATCAACAGAAACAATACCATGGTCAGTGTACCTGTTCCACCACAATGACCCAAATTGCATCTGTTCACAGGTGCTTCTCTCCCAGGTATGGATTCTCAGGAAATCTCAGGCCACTGATATTCAGTAAAGATGACAATTCACATCAATTCCCAAGTTTTCTGGTAGTTATGTAATCAGTGGGGTGTTCCACATCAGGATGCATTTGCCACCCATCTCAATTCCAAATTACCGCTTTTTTGGTCCCCAGTACCTCATCCTTTGGCTTAGTAGATGCCTTCAGACAGGATTGGGCCAACCTTTACATGCATGCATACCCTCTATCTGTCTCTTTCCCAGGGTTTTATCCATCATCCAATCCACTCCGTGTCCTTCCAATAGCACCTTCCTGGCCAGCACAAACTTGGTTTCCAATCCTTACTCTCCTTGAGACAACACCTCCATTACCACTTCTTCTTTCCCAATCCCTCCTGCTTTAACCTCAGTCACTGGATACCATCCCACAATCTCCACACTCCGGCTTCACGCATGACTTTTGTCCGGTTACCTGATGATGTGGTTCTGGACTATCCGCACATGTAGCTTCCATCCTTTCCCATTCTGTACATCCTTCTTCCCTCATGGTATATCAGAAAAAAAATGTTGTGTTTTTCAGCATTGGTCTCTGTAGAAGGATTCCCTTCCTTCCCATCCATATATTCCTCATGCCTCAGAACTTTTTACCAGGCTGTTTGACAATGAATCTTCTATATCTACAGCTTTTGAGTATGGAACAGTCTTGTCCAATACCTTCCGTTTTACTTGTTACCGCAGAATGTTTTTCTCTCCTACCATTTCCATTTTGTTTCATTCTTTCCAGATCCTTCAACCTCTACATCATATGCTCATCCCAGATTGGAACCTTAATGTTGTTCTCCACACCCTTACCTATACCTCATTTGAACCCTTATCTACCTTTTCCCTACACCATTTAACCCTCAAAACCTATTTCCTTCTCCTTTTTGCCTATAATCGTCAAAGGTCAGATGTTTTTGCTGTCAACGAATCATGTGTTCTTTATCATCATACCAATGTTCTCTTGTATCTGGATTGAAGTTTTCTACCCAAGTTGTTGGTGGCTCGTGAAGTCAACTTCTTATATATAT